ATAACATGAAGGAGAGACCGCTAGGGTCACTTGGGTCCAGTTCCATCTCCAAACAGGTGCCCACTGACCTGTTCTATGACCCTTTCCTCTACCTGACACATAGATTACTAATCACTGTCACCTGATGAGTGGAGACAAGAGAACAGGAGACACCTTGTTCTTAAGGTGTGGCTTCACTGACAGGAAGTCAGGTCAACTCCAGAAATGATTGATGGACTTCTTCTGTGAATTATATTTAAAATGATACATTGGACTCTTTGGCTGTGAATAAATAGTTGACTTTTTGTGTATGGGCATTAGTAATGAAACAAATGCCCTTTAACGCTAATATCAGTGGGATTGAACACAAAAATATGACCTTTACTTGAGAGTGCTCAAAATGGTTTGTTGCTATTTCAATTTATGACTACAAACTGATCTCACTGCATACACTTCATCACATCAACTATGCTTATTTCAGTTAGGACATTTCAACACCTGTTCAGCTAGATGTTAACAATTTCTAACAAACAACATAGGAAGACAATTAAGTCTTATTAAGTGTGTATGTATCCCCTTTTATTACCAGCCTATCCCTAGCTTAATTTACCAAACTTTTCAAGTCACTGTAAATTATGATGTTGAATATACTATTAGCTGGCAGAATAACCAGGCCTAATTACATCATCTAATAATAATTTAATATATGTCCACTTCTTAATAAAAATTTGCACATCAATGATACTAAATCACTGGATCTTATTCAGTCCAGACTTAATATGCAGTGTCTCTGCCTCAGTCTCTATTCAAACAACAGAATTTAAGGGGCAATAAATTATCATAACTGCTCTGTTCATTTAGAACCATAGGCAGACAGGGCTTGAAATGGAATGACTGAATTTTTTTTCTTTTTTTTTTGTTCATCTTATTATAATTTTAAAATTTCTTTCAAAACAATAGAATGGTCTGAACCAAAATATTGATGTGAATGATAGCTAGTGTGTCATAATTGCAGACATCCCTAGTCTTACTCTATTAGTGCCTGGTAGTGCATCAGGTTTGGCCCTGAGTAATGTATTGGTCCACTCCTCATAGTAAACATTCCACAGATGCTGCCACATGGCTCTATACCATGGTACAGGGGGACATTGTACTGCCACATGGCTCTATACCATGGTACAGGGAGACATTGTACTGCCACATGGCTCTATACCATGGTACAGGGGGACATTGTACTGCCACATGGCTCTATACCATGGTACAGGGGGACATTGTACCTGAAAACCTTATTCTGCTCATCATACAAAACATTCCAAAAATAACATGATAGTTTAGAATCTAATTTTAGAAAAATATGGCATGCAATCTAGGTTTCAAGTCAATAAGACAGATGTTTTGCTTTAAAGGTTAATTGTTCGCAATGCCAGGAAAAGCTTGCATATCCCACACCCACCCACTCCTGCAGGTAGAAAGAAAAGGTAACACTGACTAAGAGAAATCAGATCATAGTTAAATACTACTTCCTATTTGACCTGTATGGATACCAGGAAATAAATAGATTCTTGGAGATTTCATATTCTGGTAAGAAAAATCACACTGACAATGCTCTAAAACCTACCAAACTGATACAGTGGTAAATATATACAGAACCCATACACACATAATTTTCACAAGAAAAACATATTTTGATCTAGAATTTACAACCTCATCTAGAATATAATAAGACTGATTTTAAAATGATCATTTTTTAACCATGAAAATCAGCTGATTCTCCTAATAACAGCCTTTTTGTGTTCACAATTATCTCAGCTAGCTTGTAAATAATGCATTTTTGGCATTCCAATCTTCATACTGACTTTCAGTGGCCACAACAATGATGGGTTATGTCATCAAGTTTACACATGTATTCCACATTTCTAGCTGATAATCCAGAAATCACACAGCCTGGAGTGTCAAAGCCATGCACCCATGAAGAACTAGAAATTCCTGAACTCCTGTACTAATACTTGCACTACAGTGTAAAATCTTAGCCAAAATAGGATCCATAAATATATTGTTTAAAACTGAAAAAATATTGTTTAAAATCTTTTCTTTTTTTTTTTTAGTTTTAAAAAAATTAAACCATTTTTGCCTAAAACTTTTCTGTGATAAAATATCTTGTAAATGGAATAAATCTGACATTTGTATTTCATCAACATCAAAGAAATTACTGATTTTTATAATAGACAGGATGAAGCAAGAGGTATCTAGCTAGCCTTCCATTCCCCATTCCTCTCTCTCTCTCTGCTGACCTACAGTATGTGCAGAGAAGAATTCTGGGTGGTGCTTCTAAATACATAGCAGGGCAAGCATGCAGTCAGTGATAAAAACTCTACCACACATCTTCTTAACTGTAGCATGTGGCTTAAACACTTGCCTAATCTACATAAATCAACCAAAAACACTTGATGCAGTTCCCTTTTTTTCTTATGTGTTTTTCTTTAAAGTTCTTGGTTTACAACTTTCTATTAGACTTATGGTGTTATGAGCAAATGACCAGCCAAGAATGTAAGCTAGTTTAAATCTTGCTTATAAATCTCAACATGCTAATAAACATTAAAAGTTATCTATGCAAACAATTTATGAATTTGTTCTCATCAATCCCCCAAACTAACATGACAGAAATATATTTATTTTCTTTGATTTGTATTATTTACCAAACTTCAATTACACTGTGAGAAAGTCTGAATTCCCAAGGGCACAGCACCTGATAAAATCAATAGATCAATCAGGAAGGTTATCAGTAAATAAATCACAATGTTGCCACCAGAAACCCCCTAACTACACAGTTTGCAATGGGAATGTTCACACTAAGAGAAGAAGTAGAGAAGGTCCCAACCGAGCGTACAGGCTGCTACGTGTGGTCTATGGCCAAAAAAATGGGGAAAACGTGGGAGTTTGTGTGTGAGGAGCACGTCCATTGTGCATTGATTTCTTCCTTGCGATCTTGCTACGTCCTAGCCGGACGCAAGGAACCTAAAAAACCATGCGTCCAAAACGTAGTTGGGACCTAGGCTTAATGGAGGTACTGGGTAATCATAATACATGGGGGCTTAGCTTGGAACCTATAATAGCAAAAAATATGTAGTTCACTTCATACAGATTGTGAACTTAATACTCCTTTGAAGACATCAAACCACTCATCATGCCATATAAAAAGTGAGGAGGTCATTACTGACTCTGTTCAAACACATTTATCTAGCCCTCCTTAGCCACAGATGGGACAGGGCCTCCAACAAAACAATTTGAATATCTCCTTGTTATACTACAATACAACCTGAATATTCCCCTATGTACTAGTACAAAACACCTAGCAGAGCATGCCAAGGTGGTGTCATGCCCAATCAACAGTGAAGGGAGGAACTCAACCCTATCATCAGCTATGGGGATCTGTCAGTTTCTAAACCAGTCAGTGTAAGAAAGGAGGGCACCAGAGAGGCTGAAGAAATACCAGCACATGTTGTGAATGGTCTTTTAACTATTTGTGTAGTGTTGGTATTCACCCTTATAGCGTGACGAATATCCATAAACTTGTAATCTCATTCTTGCACATAATATTCAGTGAATCAAGAAGCTGCCTACACGGTCATCACTCAATGCATTGAGGCATGAACTAGAGTGTTATGCATGGTTAAAATCAACCAAGAACAATGGCTCTTACCTTCATCCAGATCTTTTAACTGTGCCTCTTGTTTTACCAGCTTCTCGTGCTGCATGTTAATCAGTTCAATGAGGTCGTCAGTTTGGGTTTTAGCAGGGACTATATTTCTATACTCGTCCAAACCAAATGCTTGGTCTATGTGAAGTTTAGCTGCTTCCTCGGCTAAGCTCTGGTCCAAGTCTAATTCCTCTAAATCTTGATGATTCTCAACAATTCCTTTAGCATTTTGATTTTGATCAAACTGAGCAAATTCTTGGGGACTTTTCTCTATGTCAGTCAAAGGACTAGGGGTGTGTGAGTGCCCATGGTTCCAACTTCCTCCTCCCACTTGAGGGGCGATACTGGCCACAGGGGACCTTCCCACCCCTGGGTACGGCTGATTGCGGGACCTGAAAAGGGCAGAAGTTTGCGGCTGACCGCTGCTCTGTCCTCCACCAAGGGTGGAATTAGTTGCACTTGAATTTGTCACTCGCTGGAAAGCACCTTGATAATGTTTTTTGTCCAAACTACTGTATGGAGAAGAGGAGTATGACGAGGATGATGAGGGTGGGCCTCCTGATTTGGCATAAGATGTACTGATGTTTTCTGTAGAGTGTTTTGAGAGAGGAATGTCCGAGGCACTTGGTTCCTCCTCCAGACTCTCCAGAGATGAGTTTTCTTGTATAGCATGACGAGGTTGGACTCTTGCACTTGGTTTGGTTTGAAAACTGTAGTTGTGAGCACCACTGAATGTTAGGGATTTTTTGATACTGGTTGCACTGTTGCCTCCGCCAACACTACCATGGGAGGGTGGTGGTGTGAAATTGTGTAAAAACTTATCAGTCCTCTGTTTGCCTTCTTGTCTTTGACGTAAAACAAATTGCACTTCATGAGCATACTCCCCCCACTTGTGAAGGATTTTCAGAGGATTGTCTGAAGGGGAGAGCAATCTTTCATTGTCTCTCCATTTTTCTATGAGTGTAAATCTCCCTGTCCTTCCTGTGGCCTGGGCCAGAGCAATGACTACATCCTGACAAGAGGTGGACTCTGTCACACCACAGATGACCCTCTGAATCCCGTCCACCCACACTTTCAGCTCCACCATGTTACCACGTCA